ACTCCACCAGGAAAAATGGTGTGTCGGTCAGAAGGTATACGAATATATACATAGTCGATTGCTTGCCCTCGTCCGAAGACTCGATTTAGGCTAGTATAGTATTAGCAAGTTTAAGAGACTAAGCTCTCGCAGATGATAACAACTCCATAAGCAGTGGATATTCTTTTAGAATAGAAAAATTCCGGCTGACCGTTTTTGGTCTTTTTTTTACTTATCGAGATGCTGTTGCTTTTCGATTTCTTTCTTCGATCTCGTCGTTGAATAATAATAATGAGTTGACGATCTCGAAAGGTTCACCGCTTAATTAAAAGGCGTCGTTTCAAGCAAGCCGCTCCTTTCTTGATCAAAACTTCATGCCGCCTTTGTGTACATGTGCGCTTTTCGTTTATATATTGCCCCAGCTATAAATTTATTCAATGTTTGGAGTACCTGCGGTTAGTGATGCCTGCGAGGGCAAAGATGATCTCCCTAGGGAAATTTTGCGATCTGTTAGTCCCTCTGTCGCTAACTATTATTGTTTTTGTGCAGAGCCTTTTTCATAAGTTGGAGTAACGTCAACGGTATACTTTGCCCGACGATTTGTGTAACCATTCTTTATCTGGAATCGAACACGCGATTTTGCAATTAACAAACATCAAATAAACGAATTGTTAAAAGCGCCGAAAAATGTACGTTATCATCCATATGTATTTCACAAATCCGTAGAGCTCATCCCCGATGATAGCCCAGTGGGTAATGTACTTGTGTGTTAATTTTAAAGAAACGTTGTGGTCTAGGTCTAGAGACCGGGCGTAGACAGACAGCCTTCGTTTCATACTGAGAGTCAGCCGTCTGTCTAACGGAATGCCTAACGGCGATACGCGAAAGATAGATGTCTGATCTGTCTCGACAAAACATGCGCCTTTTTTCTTCAAGACTTTATTTTAAGTGAAAATAGTTATCATACTCAAAACCCAAGTAAGAGTTTAGAGATAAAGCTCTTCTTGGCGATCCTCTGCACGATGTAGGACCTTGTGGGGTTTTGCTCTTTCTGGGACGCTTAAACATCTACGACAAACATTGCACATTTTTAAACCTTACTTTGCTTTTTTTACCTAAGTCACGTTGTGTGAAATTATTTACAAACAAAAATTGTTGACGATTAGCACATCGGCCAGTTCAAAATGACTATCGGCGGAAGCATGTCTGCGTCAAGGCTGTGTTTTTTGCCAGGCAGAAGGTCTGATAAATAACGTCCGGCCAGCAACCAGTATCATTTAGATTTGTTCTGGTCTGCTGCGTCAAATGCTGATGTCTGAGTAAATGTATGTTTTGAAACAACTCTTCAAGCCTGTGCACGTCATCAATAGTCTTCTACTTGTAACGTAGTCTTCCCATGGTTAGCGCAGGTTTCTTCAATCCCGTTTTGATAGATGCGGTGAGATTATCTTACTTAACCGGTAAGTCTGTGCTAGAATGGATGCTGTGTATCTCCATTGTCAGTAGCGAATAAATCAACTATGTTGCTATGTTTAATGGACGTGTGGTTAACAACACCAGCTAGCAAAAGACAGTAAGGACAAAAGATACTCTTTGCCGCGTTGGGAGTCCGAGCTGATTGAAAAGAAGTTAAAATCACTGGTCTAGATAACAGAAGATCGCCAAGCTGTAGCAAAAGGTCGAGGTCAGCAAAAAGTTGACGCATTCACAGTTGAACAACGTAAGCAAACGTACTTGCTGGAAAAACTAAGTCGTTGACTAGTAGAATATGGAGATGTACGGCACAAGTCGTATTATCTACAATGACTAATAATGACCAACAAAAAACCTGTCTACACATTAAATCGATGACGTTTTGGTCTAATGAAAACACAGAACCCATTTGCTGCACGTTTCGTCCGATCCATATGAAAAGTATTAGACTACTAGGGTTGGCCAGTTACAAAGGAAAAATTGGCAAGGCCCCCGCCGTCAGCAACGCATAGTATACTAATTGAATGGGTGGCTGCTTACGACACCGAAAATCAGAAGTTTTCTTTATTACTGTTGTAGCATTTAATAAGGTTCAAAAAACGTGTGCACGATTCTATTTTGTCTAAATGGTATTGCCTTCAACCACAAGAGATCTAACAGCAATAGTAATATAAATAAAGTATAATGAAATTAAAATTCGACTTTACGTTGCATCCATGTAAATGCAAAAGAATCAGTAGAAATTGTCATGCCGATCTATGGCCCTTAGGTTACGATTTTACGACACACATTATTTATCCTGCCAGACGCACTTTAACAGCCTGATTGAAGTCGGTTTTTCTAAACAAAACAATGAGACATTTTAATGCTAAAATGGAGCGAGCCATAACCTGGACAACTAGTCGCACTGGACACTGATTTATATTGGCATCAAGGAAATTTAGCTGCCGTTTGGCTTACTCTTACAATAGGGAGATTAATGGTGATTAATGACTAAGCAGAGCGAGCTTTTGTAATAACGGCTTGTCATTATCTAACTGTTATACGCTATCTATTATAATCATCGTCTCCCAGCTGGACGCTGAATTATTTCGAAAGTTGACCGGTATTTAGTGGCATTGCAACAACCAGATCTGTGTCGTGTCTTTCTGGGAACATGAGCATTTCAATCACTTCTTTTGCATGCCGTCACCACTTTTCGACGCCGATCGCTCTTATCGTGTAACGCGTGAGTCGTATACATTGGAATGAACAGTCTAGCACATTTGTCGTGCTCCTACATTACGTATTGGAAAGTTGTTTTTACGCAAGCTTAATAAAAGTAAACTGTACAAGTTTGTTCGTATTTCTTGTGCCTGTATCAGTTATATTTGTGATGTCAACTACAATGGCAAAACCACAAGTGATACTGACTCGTCATTGTTTCGACGGCTTCTTCGATTAGGGCGATATAGCATTGTGCGCCATTTCGTTTTTGCCTTTGCTCCCTATTTTCAATGAGCTAGCGCCATTTGCAAAGTAACTAGGCGCCGGATAACTCATCATCGGGATCAATATGACTACAATCGACTACATCTGACAACGAATACATCATCTCTGAGATACACTTAGCTCGAGCTGATTAGAGGCCACACCGGAACTTCGTTTTCGGCCGCAGGCTCTAAAAACCAATTTCTATGAAGCTGTTAATTTTATTGATAGACGTTGAGGTGAATGCTGACGCAGCGTATCACTTTAGTAATTGCTGAATAGCGCAAAACGCGAGTGAGATACTACAGTTGGATACATAGTTGGGAGTACGTAAAGGCAGATTACGCGACGAAAAAAATACGACCAATAGATCTTATGTGAACAAGAGCTATGCTAGCCTTTGTACTAGCTTAACACCTAAACTTGATGCCGGGTTCTCTAATTCATTGTCTTAAAAACTGGAGCCAAGCATGCCTCGTTTATTTGGCTGATTCGCTGCGATGACACAAACGGGTGCAAATCTGACTTTGTAATTTCTCGGCGCAACTTTTGCATGTGTGATCGTACAAAAACATGTGACCTTCTAGTTCTCAGCCGACCTCACAGTATTAATCACACACTCTTTTTGACACTTCCCAATATGGGATAAATATACTATTAAGATTTATCTCACTTTACGATGGACGATTTTTCGTATCCACTTAGATCTCAAGGTTCGGGCAACTTTCGTGATATAGCACTCAATTTATTATACTACCGGATACACATACGTATATACAAAATTTTCTTGCGTGAACCAAGAGCGTTCGTAAGAGTGCCTCTTCTCAGTGCGATAATACATTTTCGCCGCAGTTTTTTTGATGAATCACAGGTCTCTATATTATAATGTTGAGTTGACCAACGTAAGCTTGCTTGGTTGCTAGCCAACGATGAACCATCGTTTGACCTTTACCTTAAGCGCGAAAGTAAACGTTGTTTTGTATCACTACTTTGGCCTTCAAGTCCCAGCGTATTTCACCGGTCGTAGCGCTCAGTCAATTTTCTATGGCTAAATAACAATTGCGTGCTGTTCAGTTAAATTTGAGGTTTGCTTGGTTGCATACTACTCGAAGACGTTAGTCTTCTCTCTAGGTGTCTTGAATATAACAATTCAATACTTGCGTACCTCGATAATCCTGGGCACACGCCGGAACTCGATAAATTTGTTTGTGATTCTGGGTGATAATGTTTATAGCAGTGTTACGTTGTACCAATAGGGCTTTCGATTGGTTAGGTCCTCGGCTGGTTGGTAGAGGGGACAATTTCGCTAAATCGTTCAGGCATAGCGATTTTTAGTGACATCGCAGTCAATCTGCTTATAATGTCATGATATCAAAACTCAATCAGCTCTTTAAGGATATGCCCGAATGAATTTATTTGTGCCTACAATAATTCTTTAATTTTACACGTTACCCCTCGCCCACAGCTGCGCTTCAATCCATTTTGCACTTCCTATGCCATCGGCAGTCCTTTACGCCGATTTGTAAATTCACTCCATATCAATATAGCAATTTTCACATGGCTAATATTATAAACTAAGCAGCGGAGCTAGTGCTCGGCCTGTCTGATTAGATATCAATGTTGATGAAAAATAGGCGTTAATTCAATAAGTGAATGGATTGGCTATAAAAGTTAATGATATCCGCTACGATTGCTCTTAATAGTGTTTATTTAACCATGAAAACATTCGAGGATTAGGAAAGGGTTGCTGAAACCGCACCGTGTTTATATTTATTATGTTTATAGTTAGAGGCTGATATCGTGTTGCGGCAATAGCCCGCAGTGTGTTTAATGTCCTGCAGCGATGACCATAACGGGCTAGAAAACAACGCACAAGCACTGCATCAATATGAGTAACAATAAAAGCACGAGGATTTTTTCAGCCCGATCTAGAAGCTCGCAAGTGTAACACTCTTTCGCTATTTCTGCGACTATTTAGAACGAGTTCGTATGTTGCTGTAAAGGCAGTTCTTCGAAATAGCAGAAGAGTTTCGAAGCTACCTTGAAACAGCTCGTTCAAATAAACAACAAACGGTTTCTCAGTGATTTCGACAATAAGCAAGTGTTTAGACGCGGCTCTTGTCACAATGTTAACTTGGTGACAAGTCCGGTGTTTGTTGCATGTACCTTGAGTCAAACGAAAATATCGTTTCTACCGTAAATCAACTTAATCGAAAATCAACATTAACACTTGTCTAGCTGTTGATTTCCTCCTGCAAGATTCATGCAAGTGGCTCCACCTGCAACACGTATGCGTACGTAAGGTAACATGACCAACTATGAGCTTCTGCGTGAAAATTAATTCATCTACATATTACATTTAATAGCTTTCGGTCAGCTTGTTAATATAGACGTGAATCATCAAGCTATTGCCCGCCATTTGCTACCATAGAATAAAAAAAAAACTCACGCGTTTGTTTTGCTGTTACTTTCATAATATGGATGGTCAATTTTGGCTAGACAGGCTTGTCGGATTTCCTCTTCAGCTGTTGGTTTATGAAATCCCGGGCAATATCGCCTTCAGCGATCTGATCTGAGAGAAGGTACAATTAGATCATCTAAAGCGGCACAGTTTATCGTTATATAAGAATACGGGTGCTTTTTATGCGCGATACAGTAATATACTTTTTTTTTTTTTTTTTATTTATTGCTACTTTACACTGTCTTTTTTTGAATGCACAACTAAAATATGTTACTTAACAGTTTATTTTTATCGTAAGCCTTATCAGATAATACATTCATTTAAAGTAAAAGCTTTAGGAAAGTTTCGCTTTTCCAATTTTACTGTATGTTAATGATGTTACAGTGTGATCTAACTAAAAATATCCTCAAATAACGCAATATTATAAAATGGAAACCAACTTAAATTTTATCTATAGTATAGTCAAGACGACTATCTGTTTGCAGAAAATAAATTAACCATAATGTAAAGATTGTGCAATATTAGAAAGGAGAGCTCTCACAAACACGGGTTTTCAGCGTTAGGATACATCCTTCACAGACAACGATGATGCTTACCTGTAACGAAATAAAAAATCCTTTATTAAAAACCAGTACATTTTTCGTATCAAAGTTTGCTCTGTTATCATCTATTAATTATCTAAGTATAATTTCAAAGTTGCTAAGTAACACACTCAATGGATCTAAAAAAACAAGAAAAAAACAGACAATTTTCTGTGTTTTTTTCTCTTTATATAATCACTAAACGCTGACTCCAGATGCAGAATTTAAAGCGTTTCATCTCCAGTTATCCTATGAGAACCTGTACCCAGTATGCCTTGAGGATCCATGTAGCGTTCGTGAATTTCGTAGCTACTCGACATTTAAAACTTACTACTCACTGCTTACGGAAAAATCTATGTTTTTGTCTTATTCTGTCGAGATCTCGAGAGTTTCAATGGTCTAACCTCTTCATAAACCTGATCCGGGGAAATCTAGTGACGGAATAAAGTCGGAAATGGGCTTTTAGGTTATATATGACTGTATTTAGGTAAATCGACCAATTATGTGGAGGAAAATGTAAAGCCATGAAAACAAATTTGAAAGTTTAGAAAGCCGTTATATACATGTATGGCTGAATGGTTGAGCTTTTACATGTAAAACTCTATGTTTCGGATATATAATAACTTAAACATTTGCCGAGTAGATCATTCAATAGAACGGTTCTATCGTAATCATTGAAAGCCTAAGGTAAAATAAGTATCAAATTTTTCATCAATTTATTGCCATCTGTAGAGCACCTTTTTTTTTTCGATATCCAGTGGATGTTACGCATTTCAAGGTTACTATGTAAAGCTCGATCAAACTGTTTTATGATCAGCCTAAAACTAAAATATCAGTATAACTTGTAGCTACACTTGATATAAATGATGCTAACGAGAGATACAATCATTTGAGGAAAGACTGTTGAAAGGCATGCGCCGGTAAATATGTAATTTTTCATGTTTGCTCCGAGTCCAGTGACTTTTATTTAATAGCACAGGCGCGCCCTATCGATTAACGGGCCATCAGCTGTCGAAGCAGCATGATTGTCACATAAGATCTTTTTTTGACCTTCCGAGTTTGCGCGTTCGATCTGTTCGAAGATACATCTATATACGTTTAGAAGTACGTTATTTTTTTCAGTTATTATTATTATTATTATTATACAAGCGGAATGCCTCTGGTCAGCTGTTAATCCAGTTTAAAATAGCTAACTCTCGCAGATAATTCGTTGTAATCCAATTATAATTAATCTGCTTTTTCATCCTCTTTTTCAATCTGCAAATTCAACCTCAACTTGCAATGCAAACAAACGCTTGTTACAGGTCGTAACTGAGGTCAAGTTTAACAAAAATCGTCTTAGTGCTAACCCTTCGACAGGAAAAACAGGTTATAGCGGTGGTAAGAAATTAAGTCTGTTTACATATAACAAAAATTATATACTTTTCATATATAATATTTAAACCTATACATGCGGGCTAGTGCAGTTATCTATTATCAGATGCATATATGATAATAAAAGTTTTCAGGTGTTTCTATAACGGCCGTGTAGCTACCGCAATGAACATCTTGGGCTCAGAGTTTTGCACAACCGGTACTGGTATGCAATTGTACCACTGTTGCAAAAGAACCTTCGAAACAGCAGACATTTTCGACAATAGAAAAAACTAGGCAGGCATTTTTGTCAAGTTAGACCCTGTCCGGCAACTGACAAGCGACATCGTTATTACCGCATTTCTAAAGCCTTGCCTCTTGATTTGAGAAGTTGGTTATTCCACTAAGCGGACGTTCACTCTACCCTACGACTAGTAAACATCACTGAGCTTCGACGATCGCCGCAAGTAACATTCATTATTAGTAAAATGCCGTATCACAATCTGAAGTTCTAACGACCCACTTTTTTTTTCTTCCACAACATTACAAGGCTCATATATGCTAAACGGGAACGAAAGCAGTAAATGCAAACGCCAATATAAAGCTGTCTTTGCTCACCAATCCGAATTCCTATTCTTCGTCAAGTACCTGGATATATTTATCTGTGGAAAATACACAAGCTAGAATAATTCATATTACCTTATTGTTGGTTATGGTAGTATTGCAATGGTTTCTTGGCTGTTAATACTAATGGGTCAAATCTATAGGTTTAGAGCAAGTAGGAACTAGCTTCAACCGCGTATGCCCGTAAATACAGGGAAAATGAGTTTTCCAGTTGGCGTCAATTCAAGATAACTTGTCCGATGGTGTCGAGCGAACTTGTATACAAACCTGGTGTTCGACGACGTCGTGAAGACGCGAACCATTCTAGTCAAAGTGACGGCCACTAAAAGTGCACACGTAACCAATGACGTTTATCTGTAAACTGTCACCTATGGTCCAACATTATTTCAAAAATGTCTTCACATTATGGCACATAAGCATCACATAACGGTGGAATAGAGGTGGCTTTCCGACGGAAGAATTTCATGACGTTGAAAGGAACGTCGATAGAAGAATACTTGCTCAGGTGTCAGGGATCGCATTCTGTACGTCTTATCATGAGATCAAGGTGGGCCCTTAATGATAGAGCATACCTACCAGCTGTCTCCTACCGAGTTCGCGATTTTAAGTTAACAAAATGAGAATCAACGTTGAGCCATTTCAATCAGCACCCCTTAAAACTCTTAGTGAAGATGAGCGAGTTCAGGACCTATGTGTAGTGACCCGTTGCGGAGGTAAACGTAGGGTGATGCTGTATAAATCAGCTGAGGACGGCTAGAAACTCTGTAGCGTCGTTCCCAGAAAACAATGTTGCTTCGACATGGCAGATATAATCACAAAATCGTTGACAGCCATGATAACAAAATTGCAATATCATATCTCACTAAATTGAATTCGGAATTAGTTTTATAATATAATCAGCACTCCACATATCTGTAGAATTAAATTGGCGACCATTATATAGCCAATGCTTTACAAAATCGTGCCAAAGCGCTCATTTTCACTTAATATCTCTATCTTATATATCCACAGGCCTTATAGCGTGCATCATCTGCTGACAGGCATCTTTATATGTCCGATATATGTTTTTATTATGTTTGTCTATATGGCAATCATATAAATGACACCTATAGCAAGCAGATATCGTATCGGTTTGAAGAATGAATTTTATGTACACATATGTTGACGTTAACCGTCCCGAAACGTCCCCGAGCCCAGCAGCGCCATATTTACCGTCTGCAAATTACCACAAGGCTCTGTAGTCGAAGGCTGAATCGCGTAAAATCAATGATGCACACATTGAAATATTAGTTTAGTTCCAATTGGAGATCTAGCGAATGCGCCAATCTTGAGAGACGTGGTCTGGGTGGCCGACACCTATCTTTTTACGAATTATTATACTAATCATAAACAGCAAACGTGCCAATGCCTGTTGAATTTGTTGAATTCAGAACATACCGATAAAAAGACCACAGAAGCTATTAGTATGGTTACCCTACTCTCTCATAGATTTGTCATATAGTTTCAGCAAGACCCATTTTAAGAATCTCTGAAGCAATACCGGAAAATAATTTCAAAGGATTGCCCAAACGGAAGATCAGCTCAAACCTAGTTTAACATTACAAATTCCATTTTATTAGTTTAAACGTATTTACCGATATGACGTTAATATGTACGTAACTGGTTACATGATGCATACGTAATTTTACGTATAAAAACGAGATCATTTGAGCAGTTCCGTCGCCGTTGTTAGATTCAATAGCTTCCACGGTGTTCTTCAAACGCCCTTTTGCGATCAGATGGCCTCATTTGAAAGTTCGTTACGGCGGCGAAAGTATACAACAGTTATGTGACAACAATCCGTACGAGCAACAATGCGACACCGTAAATATGGGCTGCATCTACGACTAAAGCGCAAGTTGACTTTGAAGTAGTTGACCAAATCATTACCAAACGGCCAAAAAATATCTTGAACATACGGATTGCACCTACTAATTCGTTGGATTTAGGACCTCTAAGGCCAAATGCACTGACAAGAGACAGCAACTGAGACTAGTGCATCAAATGTGCGGATCAACATCAATTAAACACGCCATGCCTGTTTCACGTGTATATATAAGACACGTTCTCGGCCTTCACTGCTAGGACAAACTGAATAAATGTATCGCAGTCCTTTGATTTGTCGCAGGTATGGTCTGGCCTGAGCAGAATGCCAAGATCGTCCATGCGAAATTGCAACGACGGTTTTCTTAATGTTCAAAGTAGTCCAAGCCTAGAAAAGCAACAGATACCCCTCAAGAGGCGACTTGAAATTGTATGGTATATTAAAACGAATTTTGCTGCAAGACATGGTGTATATTTTTTACTTGCAGACAAGAGACTGCACACGTTAAGTCGTTTCTGGTCTATATACATATATAATTTCATTTGATTGCGTTTCTTCACACGGAGTAATAGCGGTTGATATGAGGGCCATATTAGCTGCGTCGTGACTGAAAGTTCCTCGTAGTTTGTGCACCACCACAGCCTTTGAAGTAGTCCAAGAAGCTACCTACACATGACGACCAAAATAGCCTATTTAATCAATAAGATTTTGTGGATACGCAAAATGCAGTGGCTGCGAAGTCAGTCGATACTACATTGCCGCATAATTTTTTTCAATATATGTCATAAATTTTCCCTGACTCCTGTATGTCTGGTGAATAGACATATTCCATCATAGACATCTAACCTTTCAATGTATGTGTGCACGATGGCTGCTGATGCTCTGAATAGCCCGAGCTATTCATTGTGATACTTTAAGGTTAGACTTATGGACAACTTGGCAAGGAGCAAAGAAAGCTGTACATGGAAGATTGATTCGTTCCGTAGTTATAACTACATGTGTTAAAAACAGCCTAGAGAAGAAAGTTTTAGTTTAAGTACAATAAACCTATCACAAAAATATCGACGCATACTTAGACGTCAGTAAAAAGAAACATATTAATCAAAACTTATGTTAGCACTGCAGATCTATTGTTGTTATCTCTTGCCTGAGCTCCTACCATGTAATAGTTTGTATAATTATGAGTGCGACGTTCCAAGCCTCCTTGAGGTACACAAACATTGGCTGGCTAAGTAATGACGTATGTTTTACTTTGATATATCCACAGCTGTCGTATAGTTTGGTGACGACTGCCTTTCGCTGGCTAGTCTACCGGATATTCTTCTTTTTCTTCTTGTTAGCAGTTTCTGCTAACAGAGGAAGAGTAACCTAGTCAGGTGGTCTGGTCTCGTTGTTCCTAGTATTATTATTATTATATATTCATGTTTGTGCTTCTGTTTTACTATTTATACAACAATGGTTGTTTATTGAGTCGTCACCGTCGGGGTATGCCACAAAACAATACGATCAGATCAGTCATTACTGATCTGTACACAGTTGCTCTCACTCGTCCAGCGATCATTATGGCAGTGCAGCAATATAATAATTGTTATCGCAGACTTTCAATGTGACATTTTTCCTTTAGAACTTCTGCGATATCTTTTGACTAGGAAAGTGGTATGGCGACGCTTTGTGATCTTTTGCGATCTTGAGAAGGTGCCCATTTCGAACATATCTGAACAGGTGTATATATAATATTCTCAGCTGTGCCAATGATACAAATCGTATTGCTGTACAATATGTACGTCGGTCGTCTTTCAGCGCTAGCCCAAAGAAGCCAACCGCGTATGTGTCTAATACTACTGAAACGGAAGGTTCATTTTTTCGACAGTTCCGAAGATGTCTTCCGTTGCCGGTTGGATTAGCGGTACGTAGAACGGTACTGGTTTATGTCGCTCCTTAATGAGGAACTTAAATCCTGGCGGGAAGCCGCCCCGACATTCAGCAAGACGAACGATACCGCCGCCTCAGCATTATGGCGCGTTGCTCTTGTATTTCCAAGTATAACCAACCCGGATTGGTACATCTGCAAACAGGCTATCTTCACAAACGAATGCTATTTCCTTACGCTTCTATCCTGCAAGCCTTAAGCCCTAATAGCGAGGCACCATTTGTGAAAGGATCTAGATTTTGGTTCGCAACAGCGTTAGTTAGTTGCACTTTGCCACAAAAAGCGGACTGATTAACGGTGCATCTATTCTTTTTCCACGGAAGGATGAATGAGATGATGCAGAAAGACCCAAGTTGGATAAACCTACTGGAATGCAATATCGCAGCATTATCTAATTTATGCTGTACAACTACCGTTTTTATTAAGAAACGGCAGCGCCGCGTAATGTGCCCAATTGGCAGAGTTCATGTAAAATTAGAGAAAAATAATTGCGGGAGTGATGTGGCAGTCCAGTCTACCTAAAGCAGACTAAAAAAAAAAGTAAACACATCCCAGGTTTAAGCATTGGGACGAAACCTTTTCATCTGGAACCATCCTGTTTACATACACTTCACTGAGTTAACATTTCAGCCGTCCATAATCGAAGCGTCGTGTAAGTTGATTGATAGAGTATTGAAGTAGCAGAAAGTGTGTGAGTACCACATAACCACAGATCAAAAGGTCATAGGTACGAATCAAGGTGAAATACGAAATGCTTCAGATCATAAATTTAAGTTGCGTATGTTGTACTTTCACTTGACGTACGTAACAAAACAAAATTTAAGCCAAACTGTTTCTATGCAACGCGTAAAATCCCCAAAGGACGACCTGATGAAAAGCAATAACAGAAAAAAGTCGACCGTTAGTTGGCTATGTGCGGTTGAAAAATCTGGAGAAATAAAACGTATCATGTCTAGAACTTGAGGCCGTTTCTTCGACTATACGCCAGATTTCAAACTAATGTTTCAGTATAAGCCAACGCTGCATAGACAAAATA